TTGGGGTTCCAATTAGCTCGCAAACATGACAATGATAGAGGGTGGGTACACCATGAAACAGATCGGAGTAGAATTACCCAATAGAATAATTTATTTTTTCCCATGACCCCCATTCAATTAACTACTGAAGTTGTTTCATCAGCGCATGTCAACATACCTCTCCTCAGTTAAGTGATTATTGCTTTTTCTGTTAGGGTTCCCATGAAACTTTTTTGCAGAGGCGTGGCGTTCGGTTTTTTAGGAGTGAAGGTAGATGAGATGAACTCGAATATTTATTATCAATAATGGCCACTTTAGATTATAAGGATACAGATCTGCACCTAGTCCCTGCAGACGAAAAACTTCATTTGCTACGAAACAACTTCTGCTCAGCTTGGCAGAGCTAAATGTATTAAATTCCATCGAAACATTAAATTCTACTTAAAATCAGCCAGAATAATACACAAAAAATGATTAATTAATTACATTCAAACATTAAAGAACGTTCGGTAACTACTAGCTCGTGCTTTAAATCTTGATGCTACCATATTTTCGACTTTTCTCTTCGCCAAAATTTGACACCGTTTCAGAATTTAATAACTAGCTGATAAACAGTGCGTATATTTTTCAAGACATGATCTCCTTACGAGAGTTACAATGGTCGATCAAGTACTTGCTCATTTGTTCCCTACCCAGGTGAGAAAATTTGCGTGAAGGGCTGATCTCCAGATTGCTGCTGTTCGACAATGACCGAATCGAGCCAACCTGCGACCGAAAATCACTTTTCGGACGGAAAAAATGAGTCGGCTGACTATGTGGTCTCATATCCAAGTGAATTTGACGAGAATCTCTCGGAATCTGATCGTGAGGAGAAACGGCGCCTGATCAAGCAAGTAAGTTTTCAAGGATTCCGTTGTTACTAATTTTGAGTAAGTAGGCAGTACATGATTATTCAATAATAAGTACAGTACGTATATGAGCAAAAGGGTGGTATTTTTTTTATTAATCCAAGACTGTTTCAAATAAATTTTAACTGTTAAGAAATTAATTCCAGAAAAGGCTTGCCAATTTTGGTTATTAGTCTTCCTTTCGCCAGTGTTTTTGGCCATTTTTTTCATTGATTTCAGTCAGCTGTAGATTCACGACCTAATACTTTTGCACTTTATCTGGTTGTTGTTGTTGCCGTTCGAGATTCCAGTAGTTGCTTTCCCACTCCATCTTCTGCCAGTAGATACACTGATTTGCCACTGCGCATTAGTGCAGTCTGGCGGTGATGGGGGGG